GAAGCAGCTGCACCCACCGCCCCTCCTCCCTGCGCGCCCCGCGGGGAGCCGGCGCCGCCTCCTGCACCTGAGAGGGTCGCTCAATGCCCTGGGCTCCAGCCAGTTGCAAAATCCCTGGGGACCCTCGCTACATTTATCACAATGTGGTTCTGATGTGTTTCCACGCAGGTCCGAGGAGGACTGGCCCGGGAAGGTCGTCGGTCTTCCCTGCCCTGGGAGCCTAGGAGAGCTGCTCACTGAGGGCCCGGAAGAGGAGGCGAGGAAGGCGGCTCCAAGGTGGTGAGTGAGGGGCCTACTTAAGCGGCAAGCTGGGAGGGACAGTGGCCGGCAGGTGGGCTCGCTCCTTCCAGGGCTGTTAGGCAGCGGGCGCTGATCCTGTGGAGGTGCGGGTCCTCAATCCTCAGTGCCTGTCCTGGGCGGGGCAGAGTCGCCAAAGCCAGGTGCGAGGAATCCTTGCTTGGGGAAGAGGCTCCCAAACAGGAATGGTGGTGGCGGGCGCAGCGTCTGGGCGGTTGGTGGCGGCAGGAGGTTCCTCCAGGAGCCGGGCAGAGGTGCCAGCTGTGCACACCCAGCCTGCCAGCTCATTCTTCAGCTCTCCAGACCTGCTAAAGGCGCTCCAGCTCTTCCCACACCCAGTGACTGGCATGATCAGCGGTGTAGATGCTGCCAGGAATACCCAGGGCTAAGACGTGACGCGACGGCAGCGTGTAGGCTGCATTTCTGTATATGCCCTGTTCTGGCACCATCTTGGGCTCCTCTGATTTGTTTTCTTAAGTGGGAGGAGGGAGGAAGCTCCACTCTGTGTGCTCATTTTTTGCGGCTGATGAGCTGCGAGTTCTCTTCTGAGTACATTTGGACCCAGAGAGAGCTGAGTTCAAATCCTGACTTTGCCTTTGACCCTGGCGGGTTGCTCCAGGTCTCTCCACTCTTTCTGTGCCCTCATCTGTAAGATGGAGGGTAACCCTTCCCCATGGGAGAGTTAAGAGTAACATTTTTGGGAGAGAGGTTTTTGCTCTAGGGCGTGTGTGCTGGCCAGAAAGACAGAGACAGAGAGACAGAAAGCGAGAAATCACCCCCCGGAGGGATGGCCACGCCACAATCCCTTCTCCTCCATTCTCCTCTCGGGATCTTGGACATGCACGCACACGCGGCTGGCGTGAGTTTAAGCCACCGGGTCCGGGACTCCAACTGTGATCAACTACATGGGAGTCCAGCAACATAGCTATTATGCCAACTGCTGGTCCCAAGAGTAACTATTAATATATTGACAAATGACCAACAGCCCCAGCAGCGGGCCACCTCAGCAGCCTCCAGTTGCTAGTCTTGGGAAAGATTAAGCTGCCTGAGCCCTCCTCTGGGAGAACACTGGGAATGGCAGATGGCCATTTGACAAGATATTGTTGGAGAGTGTTAGAAGAAAGCAATAGGAATACTCGGGGAGGGCCTGTGGGGGTGAGTAATGGGGGAGCCTAATTCAGGGTCTCCGGACCTTGTGGTGACCTGAGGAAGGGCCATTTCTGAAAGGGGGATTGACTTGGGCGGCAGAAATAGCACCTACTGTACATTCGCACGTGTTCATGGGTGACCCTGGACACCTCATTTCCACAGGTGCTGCCTGGAGCCGAGAGAATTTCTGGCTTGAGACATCTTATTCCAACTCTGTCTAGGTAGCTGTGTGATCCAGGGCAAGTGGTCTGACTTCTCTGGGCACTGGGCATGGAAGATGAGCTTGGAGTCAGAGAGATCCGATTCGGAATCTCAATTCGACGCTTACCATCTTGGACAGTTAATTCCCTCTAAGCCTTGGCTTCTTCCCCTGTAAGACAGAGCTCATCATATCGACCCTTGGGGCCAGCAGGTGGCGTGGTGGTTGTAACGCTGGACTCCCACATGGCCGACCATGGTTCAATCCTCAGACCTGGTGGCTTGCTTTCTCACTTTCTCTTTCTCTCTCTTTCTTGGAATCTCCGGTCAAACTAAAACAAACAAATAAAATATTATTAACAAATAAAGTTAAATAAATTTAAAAAAATATATATTTATATATCTCATTAACATGCAATGCACTAATAGAAAGCCCCCAGCACAGGATCAGACATACGGGAGACACTCTGTATCTATTCCCTTTCTCTTCTCGTGGTCCTCTCTTCTGTTGTCATTAAGATGGGCCTAGAAGGCAGGTTCAGGTCATCTCACAGAGTATCGTGAGCCTAAAGTGAAGAGAACGAAGGAGAGACATGAGAGTTAAGGACCGTGAAAACATAAGCCGTCTAATGATTAGGGCTTCCAGTGTCTACGTAATGAGGACTTTGCATGCAAAGGCTATTAAAAAATCCAGGATAGGGGGCCAGCAGGTGGCATGGTGGTTAAGGCACTGGACTCTCACATGGCCAACCATGGCTCAAGTCCTGAATCCAGTGGCTTGAAAATCACTCTAAGCGTGTGTGCATTCCAGCCCAAATTCACATGAGAATGAAGAAGAGATTGTGGCATGGCCATCCACCCCGGGGTGGGGGGTGTTTCCTCACTTTCTCTCTCACTGTCTCTCTCCAGCAAGCACATGTGCCCATGGAAAAAAAAAAAATCCAAAATAAGTAAATAAAGGCTAGTGGGGCCAACAGGTAGCATGAAGGTTAAAGCAGCTAATCCCACATGGCTGACTGTACAGTTTGCACCCTGGATCCAATGGCTTGAAAATCACTCTGGGCTTGGGCCAGCAAATGGTGTGATGGTTAAGGTGCCAGAATTCCCACATGGCCGACCACGGTTCGAGTCCCAGACCTGGAGGCTTCTCTCTCTCTCTCTGTGTGTGTCTTTCTCTGGCAAAACTCAATGTGAAAATAACAATACATAAATAAAGTTAAATAAATTTAAAAAGATAGCTCAGCTCCACCTGGTCACAGGAAGCCAGACTTCCAGGGTTGGAGCTAGTCTGACCTCTTAAAAAAGAAAATCACTCTGGGCTTATGTGAATGTGTGCATAAAATCCTGATAAACAAATGGAGGAGAAAGAATTTTGGCATGGCCATCCCTCCTAGGGGATGAGTTCTCACATTCCTTCTCTCTCTCTCTCTCTCTCTCTTTCTCTGTCTCTATCCAGTGAACAAGCATGCCTTATAACAAAAACTAGAAGAAAAAAAAAAAACAAAAAACCCAGGCTAGTGAGAAGGTCTCTGGCCTGCAGAAATAACCCCATGCTCAGGAAAGCGCAGGGCTTTTCTGTGCTGTGCGCCAGGAGTGGTGGGCGAAGGTCGGGACTCTGGGTACAGCGAGGGGGCTGGTGTGGCCCAAGCCAGTGCTGGACCACAGCACCGTCCGTGCAGGCTGGTGCAGGGCCCGAGAGGCCAGCCTGAGTCAATATTGACCTTCCTTGCTAGCCAGCCTGGCTCTCTGGCCTCTCATTCAGCTGGAGTGTTGACACAAGTGCCTGAATGAGCTTTATTACTGTATTCGGTGAAACAGCAGACCATTCTCTCTCCCTGGGGATTCACTGGGGCCTGTGGTGTGGAGATGGTGACAGGGCAGGAAGCCCAGGCACTCGGGCCTGTGGTGTGTACAGCATCGTCCTGGCACACGCCGCATCTCTCTGGGCTGCTGTGGGACGGCAGGACCGGAGGGTACTGCTCTGCCTCCTGGGGCCCTCCACCTTTCAGCACAGTGGCCCTGAGCAGGCCTTACGAAGCCTGTGGGGGGACTGGGGTGAGGGCCACAGACCTCCCTGAAGGTGACAACTAGACAGAAAAGCAGTTAAAATTCCCTTGCCCTTGTATTCCCCTTGTATATTTTGGGGGGGCGGAATAGGGAGCTGAGTGCTCCCTCCTCTGACTCTTATTCATGTAAAGAGGAGCAGATGGCAGGCCTGGAGTCCTGGTGGGGGCTCAGGGGAGACAGAATTTCATTCAACACAATGGCTGAGCCACAAAGGGATGGGGGGGACAGAAGACAGGGGACTTGGTAGGGGAGAAGCGCCCCATGCGGAGTACATTCGAGCAGAGTACAGACAGGCTTCCGCTGGGGATGCCATAGACGGCCTGAATCTGAGCAGGGGCAGAGGGCAAGGTCTGTTCCCTTCAGCCCCCGAGAGGCAGTTGGGCTAGAGCCGTTGGCATTTGGAAAAAGCTACCTCAGAACCACAAGGGCAAGGATTTTGTCTCATTTACTGTGGTCCCCCAGGGTAGGTGACAATACATACTTTCTAAATAATGAATAATACACTTTCACATTTAAACTCTAGAAAGTAAGGGGCCAGCAGATGGCATAATGGTTGTGTCACTGGACTTCCACGTAGTCAACTGCAGTTCTAGTCCTGGACCCAGCAGCTTAAAACTCATGCCAGGCGCGTGTCTGTGTACCCAAAATCCCAAGAGGAGATTGGAAAAGAAGGGATTATGGTATGGCCATATGCCCCCGGGGAGTGACTTCTTGCTTTCTGTTTCTGTGTCTGTCTCTCTGGCAAGCACACACACCCTAGAGCAAAAATCTCTCTCTACTAGGGACCAGCAGTTGGCGTAATGGCTATGTTGCTGGACTCCCATGTAGTCTACTGCCTTTCAAGTCCTGGATCCGGTGGCTTAAACTCACGCCGGGTGCGTGTGCGTGCATGCCCAAGATCCTGAGAGGAGAATGGAGGAGAAGGGATTGCTGCGTGGTCATCCCCCCTGGGGGGTGATTTCTCGCTTTCTGTCTCTCTGTCTCTGTCTTTCTGGCGAGTGCACACGCCCTATAGCAAAAAACTCTCAGAAAAAGAAAAAGAAATCCCTCTTTAAAAATGAAAAGAAAAAAAAAACTTTAGAAAGTAAAGTTTGAGCAAAATATTACCGGTGGATGACAACATTCCAATGAAAGTCTATCTTCTGTTTATGGTAATTTTCAACAAGGGGCAGGTGAGGCCTATCACTCTTCATAGATGCCAGTCATGTTGTCCTGCTTTT